CCCTCGTCTGCCGTAAGAACAGATGCCTAGAAACGGAAGCTTCCTACATTACCTCACCTCTACTGTTGGTTTTCTCCGCGTATATTCTCCGCGACCGCGCACCCGCACCACACGCGTATTCACCTGAATCCGACGGACCTTGCCATCTCGATCCCAACTCGTTGAAATGAAGTGAAGCCACGTATGGCTGCCAACATGCCGGCAGACTGAATCAATGCTTTGAATGTTCAGTGCCGCCAGCGTAGGGATGCCGCCTTGGTAAACGAGACCGTCGGGTTCCTCGGCAGTTGAGCAGTCCGCCCTCTTCATGGTAACCTTGGGCTCTTTATTTTTTTTCACTGCCCCAATTCGTGTGGTCCGCCCGATCCTCCCCCCGCCTGTTCGGCTCCCTGCCGAAGGGGTAGATAGACCCCCCGCTATGCCCCCCCGTTCGCGCGTGTCGCATTGCGTAGCGTAGCGTTGCGCAGCGCCTCGCCGACACTTCCGTGTAGCTGTCCGTTGATAAGCATCGTGGCATGCTGTTGATGCGCGCGCTGTCCCCTCCCGGGCCCGAAAGCTGCTGGACTGATTGATGCCGTTTCCGAATCGGCTTGTTGGTTCTCGTTGGTCCCCCTTTGCACCACCCACCACCACAGCACTAACAGGCGAATACTTCCCTCGGCGGCCGTCATGGACCCGTCTACTCGGGACGTAGAGTCCTTTGCGGCGAGCCTCGACGCCTTCCGATCATGTCTGGACGAGAGCCAGAGCGCCGCCTTTGCCTCGGCCAACTTTGACGACCTGCAGCTCGACATTCTCGCCATCCAGGCCGACCAGGATCGCCACCGCACCATGATGAACCTGCCGCGCCTCAACTCCTTTCTCGCCGGCATGGAAGGGCTCGATTCGGCCTTGCGTTGTTTCCTCTCGGACGAAATCGTCACCACCCTCATGGCCCACATCTGGGGACCGACCCGTTGGTTTTTAAAGGTGTGTTGTGCGCCTTGTTGTAGTATCTCCCGCCGCCGGGTAGGGCGCCCGTCTTGCCTGCAACGCAGACTAACAAGATTCTTTTGATTCCGTTTCTGCAAATAGACGGCTAGTGTAGACGACTTTGCCTTTGACCAACTCCTTGACGTGTACTACTTGCTGGGGCAGGAGTTTGTGCCCTTCAACGAGTGCGAGGTATTATTTCGCGAGTCACCAGAAACCAGACAGTGTCTGTCGAGCTTATACGACGATCTCTTGCGCTTCGAAGCAGCCGTGGCCCGACTGTTCGGCCGGTCTTGTAAGTTGATTCTGTTGATAGGATATCAAGACAAAACTTACATAAAGTCAATCCCTCAAACTTGGTGCTGGATTCACTGACGAATTGAGCGCGCACAGCTTGGCTGAAAACTTTCAGGCCCTCATGGCGAGGTCTCGCGGCTAACTTTGAGGCTATCGCTGTGAGCCTTAAAATGCACGCCGCCGTGATCGAGGAAGTCATGTTTCGAACCACTTCCAGCTCCCCCGCGGCCCAGCGGCGCGCGTCTGATACCATGTCAGACATTGTCTGGGATCGTTCATCCGTGGCCGCCAAGATGCACCAGTACTCTGTCCAAAGGCAAGTCCTGTGGCAAGATTTCGACGCGCAAGCGCGCGACCGCATGCAGCGGCAGAGCCTCGAGGTGTCACGCTGGATAGCGGCGTCCCCCGTGACCGATGCATTGCACGCCGAGTATTGTCGCGCCAGGGCCAGCGTGCCCGGCGCCGGACGATGGCTGCTCGGACGCCCCGAGATAGGCAGGTGGTTGACAGCACCGGACCTTGACAGTCCTGTGATATGGCTTCACGGCAAGCCCGGAATTGGTGAGTTGTCGGCCAGAAAGCACCCTGCCGAAGGCCGGGAAAACGCTAACTGCTCGTCAGGCAAGACTGTGCTCTCCTCGATGCTCGTAGAGGAATGCGTCTCTCTGCAGCGGCAGGGGGAGGTTCCGCCAGCCTCACAAGTCCACTTCTTCTACTGCGAGGAAGGGGATGCCAACCTCAACACTGCACTCGGCGTGTTCAGGGGGCTTCTCCACCAGCTGCTACTCTCTCGAGAAGATCTGCTGTCGACAATGCTGGACGAGGCGCGCAACGGCGGCCAGCTCACATTGAGCACGAGTGAGACGGCTCGAGACCTCGTGGAGCTGTGCCTGGAAAGCCCTTCGCGACGCTACATCGTCATTGATGGTCTTGATGCGTGTGAGCCCTCAGAAGCGAAGCGCGTCGTGAGCCTGTTGACGCACATGGCCAAGAAGCCTGGGGTGCGTGCTGGGAGGCTGCGTGTACTCTTCACAAGTCGCTCATCTGCCGAGCTGAAAAGAGTGTTCGACGCAGCCAACATGTTGGAGATTGATCCAGCACAAAACCTTCGTGACATTCACCACTATGTAGGTGTGCGCTTGGCGAAAGCCACAGGCCTGCCTCTCAACGAAGACGAGACGAACCAGCTGCAGGACCAGGTGACGCGTCAGAGCGGTGGTAAGTCAGCCAAGACCCGAAGTTGTGACTCTGATGGCTTCTGATTGCTGATAAACGCTACTCGGCGGTAGGTCTATTTCTCAATGCCCATCTCGCCACCGAGAGTCTCATGCTGCAGCGTTCGCGAACAGAGCTGCAGGAAGCTGCTAGTCGCGACAATAACACTGGTGACTGGTATGCCAGAATACTCAGTGGTGTCATGCAGCGGGTCGATCAGGAGTTCCGAGGTGGCAGGGAACGGGCTTCGGCCCTCTTCTCCTGGCTGTCCGGTGCGAAGCGACCATTGCACTGGCACGAGGTCCGAGGCATCGCCTGCCGTTCTCATGATTCAATCACTGTCGCTGGTGACCGCGAACCGTGGGAGGCACTGATACAGTCATGTCGACCGTTGCTGCAGGTCCTCCCTGGAACGAGGATTCAGTTGATCCATCAGACTGCCAAAATGTAAGCCAACACGCAATCTCTCGGTACCTGTTGCGCGGCTAACGTTGAATCTGATCGCAGGCACATTGAGATGCCACGAGCGCAATGCGACTTGGCCATCTTTTGTCTCGACCACCTGTCGCAGCCTTGGTTCGATCCTGATTGCCCTGAAGTTGACCGCCGGGGCCATGCTCTCCAGGGACGACTGGCACTCGAAGACTACATTGTAGCCAACTGGGCCGGCCACCTCGAAGCCGTGCTTCACGACTGCAAGCATCTTCTCAAGGACACGCCGTATGGTTCGGCATTCGAGCGGGCCCTCGTTAATTTTTTCCACATTCATCACGCTGGTATTTCGCAAAATACCGACGCTCCGCCCGTTTTGAGAGCGCACGACATTCCTGGTATCGCCTCTCACGCGAAGCTGCTGGCGCTTTACACGCACGTGTATAACCACAGAAAGAGCGGGCATCATGACCCGCGAGTCAGCGTGGTCACAGTCGACGACGCCTTCAGCAAGAATCGAAAGGTGCTTGAAGCCCTCGCGTCTACCGTCGGTGGTCGAGGCGCCCTTGCTGTCGCATACGGCCCAAAGATGTTCAAGTGTAGTCAACCGGCCTGCGACTTCTTCTCAGAAGGCTTCGAGACCGAAGCCGAGCGCGATCACCATTTGAACCGCCACGAGCGGCCCTTCCCTTGTCCACTGGACGGTTGCACCCAAGCGCCGTTTGGCTTCACTACGAAGAAGGACAGGGAACGACACGTCCGCCACTACCATCCTGAGGAAAGCGACCAACCTCCTGCGTTTGTACAGCCAACGCGCAGAGTGGAAGACGCCAGATTTTTGTGTAACATCTGCGGCAAGAGCTTCACGCGCAATATCAACCTCAAGGGACACATGAGAAGCCACTTTGGCGAGAGGCCTTTCGCGTGCTCAAGTTGCGGCAAAGCGTTCACCAGGCTCAATGATTGTCGTAGGCATGAGAAGATACACGTCAAGAAGGCAGAGTAGACGTCGAACCGCCGGTCAACTCTGTCGGACATGAACTTCAGGACTCGGCCGGTGAACTAGGGGATCCCGCAGTGGCTGGTGTGGCTGATCTGTGGCAAGGAACTACGCAACCTTGGCGTCTGGTGTTTTCTCCCCGAATGGTGGCTCATTGGGGCATGGGACGACAGATCCAGTTGCAATAGTCCTGGCGCAAAGCGGCGTCCCTTAGTGTGCGGCGAGCTGTCGTGGCCTGAACTTTAGAGACAAGTCGCGATCCGTGTGCTCGGGATTTCGATGTCTGGGCACTGCGCCTCATCGCCCACGGAGCCAAAATTGGCTTTATTGTCGTCAGCGCGATGGGGAAGTCGTCGCTGACGAGCTGTGACAACTGGCGCCCTCACATGATCTTTAATGTGTGGTGGTCGTTTGCAGACCAGGCTCCGGTACAGTTCCAAGCCACGGCCTTTCCTCGTCAAGTTGGTACCCGAGGGCATAAGCACCCCTTGGACACCCGGACCGAATGTCGGCTTCGAGAAATGGGCCGACATGGGAGGTCGTGGTCCGCCGCACTGTCGTTACGTTACCAAGAGCCGATCCGCACTCTCGCATGTGGCGATGCCAGACGGCCGTCCTCCGGGATCCACTCTCGCCGATACGACAAAGTCGAATCTGAATAAGCGACGAAATCCAGATTTCGAGATGTAGATCAACAAGGATCGGCAGGTTCGAGACCCGGTACATCGCCTCCTTCATGTGGTATGAATAGCCAGTGCGAACATGATTATAGCCTTGGGAATGCCGTCAGTGGCCGTTGGGCAACGACGAGGCGAATCTTCCCGGCCCGCTCCCAATCGACCCAGCCGCCCGCGTCGTCTGGGCCTCGACTGTGTTTGACTGTGTGGGCTGAGGTTGGCGGCCCACGGGCATGAACGGCATCGATTGGATCTGGCGATAGTGCGCGCATTTCGTGCGTGGGCGCGTGTGTGGACGAGAATGCGACGCAGGAGGACCTTTCGAGCCGTGCCCCGCCTAGTGGAGACCAAGATTCGCTCGACTTGGTATGGCTCTCGCCGCAGGCGCTTGGAATGAATGGTTCGTGGGGGCATCGTCGTCAGATGCTCTCGCAGTGAAGGAACTCGTCGACTTTTCCTCCAAGTCTTCGGGAGGGCTGACAAGACCAGACGCAGTTGACCGAGTCACCAGGAACGCCATGCTGCACGGCTGGATATTGAGGCCACGGCAAGTGGGTGTGGACAAACAGCAACGTTGCGTCACTTGGTACCTAATCAGCAAGTTGACCGTGGAAGCGTCAATTGAATCTAAAGCATTCCCACATATGCATCACGGTCGTGATCGGGGCAATGCGTGTCTCCAGGGACTTGAATTTCAAGTCCGAGATGCTACATTGTGCGTGTGTGTGTGTGTGTGTGTATGTGTGTGGGCCGCATGATCCTGCAGTCTACACGCTGCAATGCACAAGACAGGAAGCTCTGGGAAGGTTACTGAAATGAAACGCAGACCAATAGGAAAGATTTCGCATTCTTGGTGGCGAACCCTTGATGACCTGCGTTTAGCCGGGTTGCCTGTATTGTGGCAAAGCGTTGCTGGTGTCCGGGGGGGCTTCCAAGAAAGAGTGTGTGTGCCCTCACTATCGTCATGAGCTTTACCGGCCGGTGAAGACCGAAGCAAGCGTGCCCTGACAGGCGAATGAGTCTGTTCAACAGGATATATTGTTCCCTTGAAATGCAATGCAAATCATCTTGCATCACGGCGTCGTACCTGTCTGTGAAAACAGATTTGTCTGCGAATCTCTTGGCAGTTGGACATGAATGTAAAGCAGGTCGACGTGTGAGAACCGAGGCTGACGTCAAGTTTCTAACTAGATTTTTTCCGGCGCCGTCTGCAGATCGACGAGTGGATTGACGACTGACAAGCAAGTCTGAAGACCCTTTTCCCGAGTGACCGACTTTTGATTGATCCGCTCAAGAGTGTGTTATCCTTGGCGAACAGTTCTGGCTATTTTCAACACCGATCGGCAACGTCTTTGGACGAGATTTCTTTCCTCAAAGAACCGGGCTCAGAGGTTGGTCCGAGAGTAGTTAAAAAGTCCGGGGAAGGACAGGGGTGGGTGGTGCTGCACGGATATGTTGCCAGGGGCCTTTTGGGGGGTGTCAGGTGTTCTTGATGCCGTTGAGTCGGCGACACCGGTGCAATTCAATGGCTCCGACGAAAACCCAGGTGCCGTCTAGCCCTGGTTCGCGATACCGAAACATTGCCCCTGAAGGATAATGACCATAGATGCTCTCCGCGTTACCTCTTGAGGTCTTTGTGGTCTGCCCCCGCATGTGGCTCATGAGATCGCCGTGCGGACGCCAGCTAGTTGGCACAGCCTGCGTACCGGATGCTTGTAAGACATCAGGTTCCGGTGAGCTGGCGCGTGGAAGGTTCTCAAAGGAATGAGGTGGGAGGACATTTAGCTTCCAGGTACGAGACCTAAAGCCATCGTATCGTGCCGTGTTTCGATAGCGAGACAAGAAGTGGGCCCGTCTGTCGGTGTGCAAAGCCTAACAAAACCAACCCATGGGCGCGTGAGCTTGAGGCTGGCCACACACTAGTAAGAGCTACCCTTGGAAGAGCGGTATCCTGGTGGGCGGATCATTCGGAGCAGCCCACGTCAGTGTCAGGAGCTACCTCGTCGGGAATGGAGATTGGCCCCTACTTGATGGCTCACGGATCTACTGTACAGTAGACGACGTGACTGGAGAAGAGGTCCGTGACCGCCAAGCGAGGATGATCGGGCTCCGAAGCAACGCGCTATGCAAAGTAGTCAACTCCTGTAATTTAGCAAAGTTGGGGAAGCAGTCTGGAGAAGAGAGCATAAAAGGAAGCTCGAAGCTCGGCACTTCTTCCCCTGACGAATTACATTTCGGCCAGAGTGCGGTGGCTGAAGGGGAAATTGGCAGACTGAGTCGCGGCTTCGAGGGTTATGCTTGCTCACGACGCCAACGCCATGCTCAGTGTGCGCCATACCGAAGGCGATGAGTAATTCAGCGACGACCATGATGTGAAGTAATCTGATCGGCTGTACGGGGCAATCGATTTTGGAATCGGAATCCAACCGCCCGTTGCTTACCCCGAAGGCCATTGTTAAGAATACCAAACTCAGTGTGTGCCTGGTATTGTCGTGGGTCGTTTCGATATGCCCTGCCTACTGCCGGTATCCATTAGACTTGTGAGCTCAGGAGTACATGGTATCTGCTCTGCCTTGGGTAAGCGTGCCTGAAACATCACGCGGACATGCAGCAAGGGTTGGTGGCAAGGATGGTCTTTTGAACTGCAGATAAGTCAGGTCCTGGTCGACGATGCAACGATGGTTATTCAAAAAAGCTGGACTGCCAGTTGACTTCATGATCCGTCTCAATCGTCTGATCTCTATAACCCGCATCGTCCGAGGGCTTTTTTCAGAGGCTTGGTGAATGTTCCGAAATGCGTCTTCCATTTGCTGGCCAAGGACGCAGCGAGCCTTTCGCCAGTCTACAAGGCGGGTGGTCGAGTTGTGACAATGGCCTCTCTTGGGCGATTCGCCGGGCAAGCTGTCGACAGAAAATCTGGCACTCTTAAAATCCTTCACCTAACAACACCACTACAACCACCAAAATGACCGATTTTCCACACCATAACACACCTACAAAATCTAGGGTCCTAGGGGCTATACCTTTATGGATAAATTCAGAACGTGTTAATCACTGGATTGATTCAATGCCGTAACGGATGAGGGATGTGGTAGCTATGGAGGGTAAAATGACTAGTTGGTAGATAAGAGTGATTTTAAGAGTGCCAGATTTTCTGTCAACAGCTTGCCGGGCTACCATGCAGAAAGCTGGGAGGCTGGCTCATTCGCTGACGCCAAGCTCGAATCCGTTGACCTGCAGATAGGGAGGGATTCATTGCGTGTTCGATCAGGTCTGGATTGGCGTGGCCTGAGATGGTGGCTGCAAGAGGGCTCCACCGACGTAACAACGGAGTGCGGACCCTTGGCCAATGTCTGGTTTGCGGCGCACAGTTGAGCTGAGTTAGAATGGCACTGTCTATGTACCTGTGCCTGTTGTTCGTTTGATAGTAGAGATTGCTGTTGGACGGAGCCGAGGCCTCGCCCTGAGGTGACATGTTGGTAGAAACATGCACATGGATGGGTCGGTAGGCCTGGACAGGAATATTAATAGCACGAACCGGCATGGCCAGCGGTATGCAGGACATGTCGCACAAACCCTGTGTTCACTTGTGAAACGGCTGTCGTCACTGCGTTGCGGCTCTTTCTTTCTCTGATCGCTCGAGGCATTATATGCGGATCCGCCCACCGCCCGAGGTTGGTGATCTTATGCTGCTGCTGTGACGGTAAGCCCACCTAAGATAGAAAAGGTGGTTCCGCCTCGGGGGTCAAAGAAACAGGCCATGATTGCGAAACAAGGAGACTCGAACGGAGCCCGTTCCAGTACTGTAGATACGCCGGAGTAATGCGAAACCACAACGTGCCCCGGTTTTGTTGAGATGTTGTGAACATTCGAATGTGTGCACTGATGTACATGTCGCGCGCCTACTGCAGATGAGCTCAAGGCGGTGCGGATGCGCGCTTGGCGAGTGGTATGTCTCTCAATCCGCTGGCTTGGTGTTGCCTCCCCACCCAACTGGCCATCTACGGGTGGCAGGCATGCGGATAGAACTGTACTGGCTGGAGCAGTGAAGAAGGACGACTCCCTCGAGATGCAAATTAGGACGATGTCAAATCCGAGTTTCTGTGCCCGATTGCAAGTATGGCGGCGACGCATCTGCCTGTACGTAGACTGCCAACTGGTAGCAAGGCTGGAGTCTGGTGGAAAGGTTGAGTAGAGCGCAGTCCAGGTCAGTTCAGGCCAGACAGCCAGCAATGGGTTCTTGCCCCACGCGTGCTGTCGGGGACCTGGCAGGCGCCATCTGGACGAACGCTGCTTCCGTCAAAAGTTTGTGAAGGAGCGAATTGTGTG